GTGCAGCAGCCAGTCGCCGAGGCAGTTTGTGACGCGCATTGCGTCAGAAGCGTGCACGCGCTGGAAGGACACCTTCCTACTGGTCGTAGAATCAGGTCGTCACTGAATGCTTGATACTAAGGCCGCGAGCTATGCAGGTGATCAATTGTGCATCATGGCACGGTCAGCAGCGCCGACAGGCTGTCGCAAGGCGTGATAGCATGGCCGCAAGTACGCAGAATTCCCATGAAAACAAGTAAAAATCGCGAAAAAAAGAAAAAAAATCCCGAAAAAATCGGCGCCTGCGGCGGGCCGTGGGAACCCATCTCCCCCCCGCATGGACACCCTCTGGGGGCCCCGCGCCGGCCCAGAGCAAGTGCTCCAAGTGCGAGAGTCGAGAGAGCGACGGAGAGAGGTATCTCTTATCTGGCAGCGTGGCACCGCGCGGCCAGCACGCGCATGTATGATGTGTACCGAGACGACTTCTATAGACTATAGCCCGATCCTCACGCCTTCCGCTGTGCATATGTGGTCTTCATTGATCCACGGGCCTCGCGCAGGCAGTGCCAAGCTTATGAGCGCTCCCGCCCCCGGATCCACCCTTACTATTCTCAATCCTGGCCGCGCGTGCCCAGCTGCCAGCTCACTGACCAGTACACGGGGAAGAAGATGCCGTCCGAGAAGCAGCTTCTCGCCAGGCAGGGCACAAGGCCGCGGAAAAAGGCGCGCTCCCCACCCGTTCGAAAGAGTTGGCGCGCAATGTCCGCGGCGCCTTCCCAGCCGAAGGGCTGCGCCGCCATGCGCGTGCGCACCACATCGAGCGGGTAGATGGCAGCCCACGAGGAGACACCCGAGAGAGACCCGGCTCCCACAAGCTTGAGCGCCTGTGTCGCGCCGTCGCCGCTGTCGCCGCCGTCGCCGCCGCCGCCCTCGGCAAAGTTGACGGTGAGCCAGCGGTTCCCGCCAAAGTAGATTGCGCCCGAGACCAGGTCCATCACCACGCACACGCCGATGCCGCGGTATAGGCCGCGAAAGCCGGAACGGCAGACGACAGTTTGCACAACCTCTAGCGGGCCCGAAAAGGCGCGGCCCTCATGCCGCACCTGCAGCAGAATCTTGATGCGATCGCAGGGGTGCAGATA